TTGGCATTTCTCCCCGCGGGGAGAGCAGGGCTGCGTGCCCGGGGGGGCAGCGGGGGGCTGCGGGGCCCTGCCGCACGGAGGTGCAATGGGTTTTCTTCTCCCCAGGCCGGGCGCTGTGACGTCTGTTCGCACTCAGCTGCTCCACCAGACGCCGGTGGCTGACCACGCTGACAGGTAACGCCGGCGCTTCAGGGCGGGTTCCTCACCTCCGTCCGCCCTCCTGCAGGTGGGGGATCCCGGGCCAGACAGGGGAAGGAACCTTCCGTTTGCCGTACCTCTGCCTGCCTACACGTGATGATCTTTTCCTCACGTTGCTTCTTAAAAGCTGGGATTGACTGGCAGGCTGCTGTCAGGCTGCGAGCCCTGGGGATGAGCCCACCGGGCGCCCTCTGTAATTTGGGTGCAGTGAACGGGGGGGCTCTGCCTGAGCGACAAACTCCATGGATCTCCCTACGGCGGGGTGGGGGGGAAACCCTGTTATAAACCCGGTATCCAGCAGTAGCAGAGGGCATGAGATTGTCCGCGAGCAACGTCCCACAGCTTCCTTACGGGATCACAGCTCCTTGAGGCTGATGATTGTATTCTGCGGTTACGCTTAGTAACTGGAGACTGATGCTGCTGTGCTGTTTGTCTTCAGCTCTGTCCAAGTCCAGCAAAAGAGCTCAGCTGTTGTCCAGAAAAAATCCTACGTCCCCACCAGCAGGGGCGAATATATTGTCACCAAACTCGATGACCTGATCAACTGGGCGCGAAGGGTGAGTCGCTGAAGCTGTCGTGCTCACTAGGGAGAAACGGTATCGGATGCTTTGAGGTGCTGGTGGGAAATGGATTTGAGCCATCTCCTCCTTGGGATAAAAATAGGTTCAAAATTCCCCGCTGGGAAATAGCCGAGCTTCTTGGCCAGAGGCTGACGCTCGGGACGCGCGACGTGAGGGTGGTGAGACGCAGCGCAGGCTGCCTGCCCACATAGAGCTGCCCTTCAGTAACGAGCGAGGGGCGCTTTCTGGTTTTGCAGAGTCCTTGTAACGTGCAGCTGCTCTGTGCCCTGGGGAAGGCCGCACAAGCAACGCCGCCCTCGATCCAGCGTGCTCCCGCTCAGCTGAGTTTTGCCTTCTCCAGCCACCGCTGTCCCTGTGCGGGGCTTCTGGGGTGGCTGCTTCAGCAGCCTGAGATGTAAGGGGGAGCGCCTGCGGCTGTGAGCGTGCTCTGCATCCCTGAGGCTGCGAACGCGCAGACCTCTGCACACCCGTTTCCCTGGAGCCGTGGGTTTTGCTCGCCTGCTTCATGGCAAACACCATTTCCGTTGATGACGCTCTGTCTAAACAAACCTTGGAGCTTTCCTTGTTCTGTTTCCTTTCCTGTCTGATCAAGTCTTGTTCTTCGAGTCACCCGCCCTGGGTCTCAGCTCCCGCTTTCAGCGTCCTCACCCATCACCTGCGTCTCTCCTGCTGCAGAGCTCCTTATGGCCGATGACGTTTGGCCTGGCCTGCTGTGCCGTGGAGATGATGCACATGGCGGCTCCGCGCTATGACATGGACCGCTTTGGGGTGGTGTTCCGAGCCAGTCCCCGACAAGCTGACGTCATGATCGTGGCCGGCACCCTGACAAACAAAATGGCTCCGGCTCTTCGGAAGGTACGGCCTGCGCCGGATGCCTCGGGCACGGCTGCACGCTGGGGGCGGGTGGGAAGTGGCCTGAAATGTCTGTGCTCTGCAGGTCTACGACCAGATGCCGGAGCCTCGCTATGTGGTCTCCATGGGGAGGTGAGTGCGGGACAAGCCTTATCACCTTCCACTGTAGGGGAGAAAGCTGGCGTCTCTGCCTGAGCGGGGGTATGGAGGGGGGGGAACCCATTTCTCATTTGTATTTCCAACCCCTTAAATTACGTAAAGAGGCCTTGTTACAAGTGAAAAATAAAGACCCGTTGATTAGGGCGAGGAGAACGACGTCTGTCAAGCCACGGCCAACTGTAAAGTCTGCCCAGTGAAAGATTCTGGGGTCTTTGCAGCCGCCAGAGTCTGGGGACTTGTGCATGTCCAGAGCCTCAGAACTTGCATTTAGACAAGAGCTTTCCACATGCTCCTGCCGTGCAGCATGAGATTGGAGCTCCATGGAGCTCTACGATGGTGGAGCTGACGCCTCGTTTGCCTCGGGGAGCGGCTGGGGCCGAGGACGGCTGTTTCACCAGGGCCTGGAGGGCCAGAACGAGTGCTAGAAGCAGCAAAATAAAAAAGGTTTTGTGGTAGAGAGGAAAGACCCCCAAGCATGTGCTCCGTAAGAGTAACAAAAGCGGTTCGGTCTGGTTGGATGCAGCTGGAAATGTGGCAGCTGGGGAGAGCCTCTGCCCCCCAGCCAGCTCTGCCCCCCAGCCAGCTCTGCCCCCCAGCCAGCTCTGCCCCCTGAATGGCTGCGGCGTAAACCTTGGCATCCGTTCCATCCCTTGCTGGGGATCTGTCGGGTGGCTCCTTGCCTCCTGCACTCGGGTGCCGGGCTCACCTCCTCCTTCGCCTCCCGCTCCCCTTTTCCCGTGGGCCGCTGAGCCGCGTCGACCAGCGCGCTGACACCCACCCGTCTCTTGCAGCTGCGCCAACGGCGGGGGCTACTACCACTACTCCTACTCGGTGGTGAGGGGCTGCGACCGCATTGTGCCCGTGGACATCTACGTGCCAGGTAGGGAAGGCGGCGCTAGCCCCGAGCGGTTTGTGCATCTGGGCGGTGCTCGGTGTGGTTTTTAAGGATCTTTCTGCGCTGCTGAAGTTGCGGATGCTTCGGTGGGAGCTGCCCTGGGGTGTCCAGCAAGCGCGCGGGGTTCTGGTGATGTCACTCGCCAGTAACGGTTATGTAAAGCGCGGGCTGCGGCGTCATCCGCCGCGTACTCCCGTGAGACGTCACCTTGCTTAAATGCAAAGCGTTTCTACGTTTTATAAAGGCCTTTTCGAAAAGCGCCGTCACTTCAGCCTCTTTAAGCCAGAGAAGCCCCCGTGCTCTAATGACCTCTGCAGCCTGCGGCTTACGCGAAGCCGGAGGGAAAGCACGGCCGCCTTGGGGAAAAGCCCCGCTCGTCGGTTCTCCTGCTGGCTACGTCGCGGTGCAGCTAGCAGCCCCGCGGGCTTCCGTGTTCTCTCTCTCTCAGGTTGCCCACCTACGGCTGAAGCGTTGCTGTATGGGATTCTGCAGCTTCAGAAGAAAATCAAACGGGAGAAGAAGATTCAGATCTGGTACAGGAAGTAGCCTCCTATTTATGAGCTCCCCCCTCACTGCCCGCCCGGGGCTCCTGCTTGCATTCATACGCACAAGAAATCTGGGTTCTCACAAGGCTCCCAATAAAACCCTACCTGGGGAAGCTGCTCTTCTGTCTTTAATGCATCGCTCTTACCTGAGGTGTTTTAACCCATTTAAAAACGGCATTAAAAAGCAGGAGTTGAATTTGATGACGTTCGCGTGGCGTTTCCCGGGCAGCCAGCGAGGGAAGGGCAACCAGTGAAGGTGCCTATCGTGACCAAAGTGCCTTGCTGGAGGCCTGGGACTCGCTCCTTGGCTTTGTTAGGAAGCTTTGTGACCAACGTGCATCCGGCTGAGCGCCAAGGTCTCCCTGAGCTCACCTCGTACAAACAAAAAGCAGGCGGTGAGTAAACAGGCTGCCCAGGGAGGTTGTGGAGTCTCCTTCTCTGGAGATATTCAAAGCCCGCCTGGAAGAATAGAATCATAGAATCATAGAATGTTTAGGGTTGGAAGGGACCACTAGTGGTCATCTAGTCCAACCCCCCTGCAGTGAGCAGGGACACTGCTAACTAGATCAGGTTGCTCAGAGCCCCATCCAACCTGGCCTTGAATGTTCCCAGGGATGGGGCCTCCACGACCTCTCTGGGCAACCTGTTCCAGTGTTTTACCACCCTCATTGTAAAAAATTTCTTCCTTACCTCTAGCCTGAACCTACCCTGTTCTAGTTTAAAACCATTTCCCCTTGTCCTAACACAGCTGGCCCTACTAAAAAGACATTCCCCATCTTTCCTATAGGCCCCCTTTAGGTACTGGAAGGCTGCAATCAGGTCTCCCCGTAGCCTTCTTTTCTCCAGGCTGAACAAGCCCAACCCTCTCAGCCTGTCCTCATAGGAGAGGTGCTCCAGCCCTCGGATCATTTTTGTAGCCCTCAATGATAGCTATGAATTCAGTGGAGCTCTGTATGTTTATAAGTATTTGCATAATTAGACAGCAAATTATTAATAGGATTAGGTTTAAAAAAAAAAAAAAATCAGTAAGCTGTTCAATGTGCTGAGGAGATGTACTTTACAGCTCTGTCCTGGCAGAGTGAGTGGAATGGTGTTGTATATCAGTTTACTAAATTTGAAATGTCATGTTGCTGTGATTTGCCAAATGGCCTTGCAGCCAGATTTTCTCTCCCCTTTTTCTGTAGCTCTGGACCTACAGGGTGCCCACCTCTCCAGCCTGTCCAGGTCTCTTTGGATGACATCCCTTCCTTCTGGTGTGTCAGCCGCACCACTCAGCTTGGTATCATCCGCAAACTTGCTACCAAGCTGAGAAGAAGTCCTGTGTAGATTGCTCTAGGAGAGCCTGCTTGAGCAGGGGGGTGGCACTAGATGATCTCCTGAGGTCCCTTCCAACCCTTGCGACTCTGTGAAATCCTACAAAGGATCTAATAAATCCTTTGTATCTGGGTGCGCAGCAGCCAGAATGTAATTATGTTTCTGTAATGTAAGTAAAATATGAATGCTTAAAATCAGACTCTGACTAATCAAGATGAATGCTGCAGCACTCCGTGGCATGGGAGGGAGGAAGCGGCCCGTGCCGGGCTCTGGTACTGGATGCGTCCCGGGAGCCCGGTGCGGTGGGGTCCCGGCAGCCTGGGCTGAGGCGCGCTCGCTGCAGGATGACACGAACGCTTTTGAAAGACAAAGAAATTGCTCTGGAACAGCAGCTGCGGCCTTCATTCCTTTTTAATGGGTTTTATCCCTTCTGGGTAGAGAGAGGAAATTCATTTATGCGCTGTTGAACCGCAAGGAGGTCGGCAGGGGCAAGGCTTGCTGCAGGGGGGGCTTTAGCCAAAAGTAGGGGAGTTTCACTGGGGGGCTGCTCCAAAATGCCGCCTGCTGCCCCGTCTCCCCTGCCTGGTTTTAGGTTATTTGGCTTGTGTGTGGAAACACCCCCACACACACCCTCCCCACTTCTAAAACCGATCCCGTTCTTGGAGGGACCATCTCGCCCTTGGACCCCTTTGGCTAAAGGCACTTGCGTCGCAGCTGAATCGAGGTATTTGGAGATGAGGACGAGTCTTGAGTGGAAGCTGGCCTCGGGGACGGACATGGGTGGGACCTTCCTCCGGGTGGGACCTTCCTCCGCAGAGCCCAGAAGGACCCCGCGGGGTGGGGCAGGGAGCCCCCCTGGGCTTTGGCCAGGAGGTCCCCTGGGACCCAGGGCTTCCACCTCAAGCCTCAGGTGTCTCCATATAAATCCGGGTCAATCTTCTCCCATTAGCACCGAAGGAGATAAGAGCTCTTCTCCAGGCAGTGCGCATCATCAGCCTCTCCTCTTTAGTGTTGGCTTCTTGTGGCTTCGGGGCAGCCCGGCAGGAAGGGGAGGGGGCACCCTCAGTGCTTCAGGACGGTGGGGGTGATCATCTTGTGGAAGGAGTAGTACCTGCAGTCCCTGGGGGGGACTAGGTCCATCACCGTCGTGCTGATGTTCTCCCTCTTGAACCCGGCCTCCACCAGCTGCCCTACCTGCGTCTCCTGCGAGAGAGGAGGGGGGGGAAGGAGCCGCGAGGGATTGAGCTGCCCCGATGCGAGCAGAGACGCTGCTGAGCCCCAGCCTGCGGGGACACGGGGCAGCACGAGCAGCCGGGCACAGGGAGCCCCGGCTTGGGCTGCCGTGGGCAAAACCCTCTGACCTTCCCTCGGATGTTCCCTGCTGAGCCCCAGCCGTCCGCGAGGAGTTAAATGGCCACGGAGTGCACCAGCCCAGGGCTGCAGGAGGTGCAGAGGCTGCGGGGTGGCTTTGGGGCCCCTGGGTTGGGCTGGGGGTGCCAGGCCCTCCCCAGGCAACATCGCTCACCTCAAACATCTCCTCGATGTCGGTGTACTTGGTTTTCAGCAGCTCCCCCCAGGAGGTCAGGTTGCAGTAGGTGAGGACCCCACCGGGCTGCAGCAAGCGGAAGGCATGGTCCTGCAACGGGAGACGAGGCAGGGCTGGCTCAGCACCCCTTGTGCACCTTGCCCTCGCCTTGCTCAGCGCCCCTTGCTCAGCACCCAGCCCCGCCTCGTCCCTCTCCAAGCCCTCCCATCTCCCCGCAGAGCTGGACATTGCCCCAGCCCTCCGTGCCCTCCGGCCGCTCCCTCCTGCCGCCTGCGACCACATGGACTGAAAGTGCTGCGATGCCACCATCACACTGGGGACATCACGGGGACATCGGGGCTTTCCAGAGGGCACCAAGTCCTGGGAGGCAGGGAGGGTGCTGGGACAGTGTGGGCTACAGACTGACACTGGCTTTGACCCCTGAGCTCCAAAATTCTCCTCTCCGCCCTCTGTGCCCCCCACCTCCCCCAAACCCACCCGCG